AGCTTTGGGGGACGTTTCAGGAAGCCCCTGTGCCCCTTTCCTTGTTTGTACCCAGCTCCTGGTGCAGACCCAGGGCTCGCTGAAGTCTGGAGCTGCTGCCCCTCCCTGTGACCCCTGCTGGGGGCTGAGTCCCCCAGTTCTGGCTCGACTGCCTCAAGCACACATGGGGACAGAGCTGCTCACAAAAGCCTTGTGGAAATCTCCTGGAAAGGCTCTGCAGTGGGTGGGGAACCCTTCTGCAGCAAAACCCCCCCAAAACATCCCCCCACAGCCCCTTTTTTGGAGGCACAGCAAAAGGGGGCTCTGGACTCACCAAAATCCCCGAGAACACGTGTGTTTGCTAATGAAATGATGACCCAATTACACATTTTGGAGTTTTCCATGAATGTTTTATTAGTGAGTCATTTTATTAGCTCCACTTCAACGGTAGCTTTTGCATGCAAAATTTAGCAGCTGTCTGATTTCATCTTGAAAGGCTTTGAGATTGCACTGTCGGTTCCTTGACAAAGAGTAGCTGGGGATGCCAGGCAGGCGCTTTCCAAAGCCTTGGGACTTCAATTTGATCCTTATCTTGAAATTAAAAAAAGGCTTTATTCATAGGGAAAACAGAAACTGCCACCAAAGGATGTGGTTCTTCTTGACTTGTGTTTGTTGCAAAATTGCTGGGTCTTGAGATTTTCATGGGGAGTATCAGGATGGGCTTTTCCTTGTTCATCTCCATTGTTGTCCCATACATGTATTTAATTAAATAAAGAAGCGATGGTGTTGGTAGAAGAGCAGCTGAAATAAAGCTTCTGCCCAGGGAAATGAGAATTCCCATTCAGGCAAAATAACCCTGATGACTTCAGGGTTCTGAACACCCAGGCAGAATCTGAGCAGGATGGTGTTCTGGAGAAAGTTCTAAAAATCCCCAGTATCAATACACAAAGCAAAATCCTTTCCCTCTCAGCCATTTGCTTTTCTCAAAGCTGACCTGTAGTTCTGTCTGATTCACAGGATGAGCCATGTGGAAATTCCTGCCTGAGGATGGGTCCAGCTGAAGCCACATCACTGGAATTTGGTGAAGTCAATAGGAGCAATGGTTCATTTTCCTTTGCTGAGGTTTGTAGAAAATTTTCTCTTGGTTTCTTCAAGTTCATTACTTCTATATTATGCCCCAAATAATGGAAGATCTTTAGTTTAAACATAAAAGAACAAACTGGCTCAAGCATTGTTTGAAAGGGAGGGAGGGATGCTCCACGTTTTGTGCTACTGCAAGGAGGAGAAGACACCATTTACTGAATTGAACCAGCAGTGGATCTTCTGATTTTGTGCTCACACAAAGAAAAGCAAAGCTTGTGCCTTGTGAAGGATTTGTAACTGATGTGGTGGAGGAAAAGGTGGGACAGCATGGATGCTCTGCCCTGCTGCTGCCTCTGGTGGGCAAAGGAAAAAAAATCCTGCCAAATACTTACATAAAATGAAGTATCCTTTGGTTATATCCTTTTGGAGTCCTTATTTCCAGGTGGATGAGGCTCTGGCAGACAGCTGGTGCTGTGTGTTTTGCTGTGTGTTTGTGGAGCAGCCATAAGGTTAAATCACAAGTTTGAGAAGCTGGATGCGCTCAAGGGAGACACAATAAAACCACTCTCACACTAGAAAAGAGCTGGCACTTTATTAACATTTTGTAACTAATAAATACATTACCAACAGCCAATAAATTATTACAATAACTAATGCTCTATTAAACCAATGGACAGTCACTCTTCGTACAAAATTACAGTTAATACAGTTTGGGCCATCAAACATGCAGGAGAAATGATTCAGCGGGAACCAGCAAAAGGAAAATGGTGACGGCCTCCGGTGATCCTCTGGGAATGTGCTGGGGAGCAGGAGCCCAGAGGCAGCAGGGTGATGGTCACTCTTCCCTTGTCGAGCTGAAGTGGGAAAAAGGAGGTGGGGGAACAGGGCTGAGGAGCACAAATTAGGGACTGGGCTAATTAACAGGGCCATGGCTGGTGCTTAAACAATCCTGTCTGCTTGCCCAGTGCCACCGGGTTGGTCCAGCACTGGAAAAGCTGGTGAGACTCAGGCACTGCTGAAAATGGTGTTTTACCTGCCATGATCTCTTCTCCCCACCTGGAGCAGCAGCTTTGGCTCTGGAGCTGCTTGCCTGCACTACAGTCAGGACTGGGTCTTAATTTCCCAGACACTGGGTGGAAAAGGGCCCGGGGCAGTGAGCATCCAGGCAGCTCCCAGCCCCTCTACCTCCTCTCCTGGCCTCTCCTCCCTGTGCCTACTGCACCCAGTGTCCGTGAACAGAGCTGCCCTCCTGGGGAGATGGGGCTGTTTCCTGAATCCAGCTCCCTTCCCTCTGCCTGCAGGGTGCCAGCTGGAGGCTTTGGTCCTCCTCTCACTAAGGCATTGGTGTTTAAGAGCTGCCCTTGCTTGTGTTTGCACACAAATAAAGATCCCACAGGCTGCTTGTTGGGGCATGAGTGGTCCTGTGCAAAGTCCCTTCCCATAGCCCCATTCTCAGTATAACTACATAGGTCTTGTACATCTGTCAGCATCAATTACCCTGTGTCAGTGCTGGAGCTCAGGAATGACACAGGACCCTCGAGTCTCAGAGCCTTGGGGTCTGTTTGCCTGCTCTCTCCTGCAGGGAGGTGGAGGTGAGACAGTGGTCTGCAATTTTGTGCCACTTGGACCACGTCTCTGCTTTCTCGTGTGTGCACTGGAGATGCAAGTGAGTGATGGGTCTGGATGCCCAGGGTGATGCTCAGTAACACCACTTCTACTGACCTTGACATGCCCAGTGTCAGATCACTAATGAGTGCTTTAGTCTCCTTGGAAATGGGTGTGGAGTTTTTGGTGGGAAGCCTGAAGACAAACCATGAAAGCACCCAAGCACACTGGAACTAAGCTTCTCTAATTGACTTGACAGATGGTCAGCCTTCTTCCAGGAACTCAGCAACTCTCCCTGGCTCCAGGAGACTTTGTGACCACAAAAGGCTTGGGACATGTCACACAAACTAACAGTGCAGGGCTGGTCCCCTTCCCAGCACTGACTGCAAATCCCCCAGGGGTGATGTCTGCCTTGTTGAGCTGCACAGTGAGGCTGGGCACATGGGGATTTCTGGCAAAAGGACATCCCCTATGTCACATCCTGACCTCTTGGAGACTGCACTCCTGGACTGAGAACAAGGTCTGTTCCCTTGCAGGCAAGCACTGGGCTCATGCCATGATAGATTAAACCCACCAGATATGTTTCAATGCACATTAAAGACTGCCCTCATTAACACTTTCAGCGTCCTGTGAAACAAAATCACATCGATAGAGGAGGCACGGCAGGCTCTGTCCCCTCCATGGAGGGACAGGCTGGCCGGCCATCCAGGGAAGGTGGCTGAAGGCAAGGAGCTGATTCCGGTACAGAACTCCTGGGAGCTGTAGTCGGAGTGTTTGTGGGCAGGCAGTGGGGCTGTGGCCGTGCAGGGAGGGCCGGAGCCGGGGCTCAGCAGCGCCAGATGGCCCCGCCGGGTGCTCCCGCAGCGCCGCCCCGGCCCCGTGCAAACCAGGCCGTGTGCGGCTTCTCCGGGCACGATTAACAACTGCCTTTGGCAGCCTGTGCTGCAGTTCAGTGTGTGCTTTCCCTGGGCATGGTTATTGCTCCTTCTCCCAGCCAGCCCAGGCACTGCATCCTCCCAAGGAGCTCTGCAGTTCAGCCCGGCAGTGCTGCAAGACTCTTCTTGTGTGGCTTTCTCTGTTTCATTGAAATTGTTGTTTAAATAAAGAAGCTATTTGCATTTTTGTGGTCTCATGGCTCCACAACCAACCCTCTCATTGACTATGGAGCAAGCCAACAGGGAGCTTCCTTCTTTCTTTTTGCTGCTGTCTGAAGCTCATCACGAGTTGCTAACGCTGCTTTCAATGCTGACACCCTTTGGATGCTTCTGCTGCTGGAACAGTGACCTGAGTCATTAAAAACCTTAAAACCTTCTGCATCCCAAAACAGACTTTTTTTTTTTTTTTTTTTTTTTTCAAATTCCCACATTAGCTTTGAAGGGCAGCAGGGTGTATACATAGCTGTTTCCATTTTGTGCTTTTAAAATCTATCCTCCATGCCCTGGTAGGATTTCTGATGCAGCTGTACCAGTTGCACCATCCCTGCTATGTGGAGACTGCAAACGAAACACAGCTCTGGACCTCCAAGGGTCTGGATTCAGAGCACAGCAACTGCAAAGCACAAGGGGCTGTTAAGAAAAGGCTTTTGAAAGCAGGCAATGTATTTCAAGGTACTTTTTAGGCAACTGCTGCAAGAATTGCTGGTGTTTAGAAAAAGCATGGGGCAGAAGATTGCCTGCAGAAGGCACATCTGTCAGGAAGGGCTTCAGAGGATGCAGAAGCCAGCAATGAGTAATGATTTGGCAGGCGCTCTGCAGACACAGATCTATACACAGCCATCAAGCAGGAGAAATAGTAGTGTTTAACACTGGAAGCATTTCATCTTCCAAAGGCTGCTTCCAGCATTTGTCAGTGAATCCTCATGACACTCGTGTGAGGGAGGGAATGTCAGCAGCAGCAGCTGAGATGAAGCTTTAGACACACAATGTGCCAAAGAAAATGAAAGAAGAGGCTCTTTGTGGCAACATTTCCTCTGCTTTTTCTCCCTTTTCTCTCCATGGGGCACCAGCTGTTGATGGTCATCAACGTGCCAGGGACCTGCTGGGGCAGCAGAGGGGGCTTGGACCTCCCAAAGCTGGGAATGGGTTACCTGAATCCAGCCTGGGGAGCAGTAAAAGTGCACTGAGCCAGCACTGGCCACTTGACTGCATTTGGCAAAGTTTGGAGTTAATTTAAATTGTCTTTACCAAAATATTCCTGTGTGCTTTATGCTGGGAGCTCGCAAAGTCTTGGTGTGGTGCTGCCTTCCCTGGGAACAGCTTCTGTTACTTATTTGCTTGGCTAAAACATCATTCACAGCAAGGGGTGGGAACAGAACATCTCCAAAACTCCAAACTCTTCTTACAGAGTTAATAAAAGACCTACATCCCTGCCAGCACCAGCCATCATCACTCTGGGTCCAGTGGTTACACAGTGTAGGTACCAAATGTAACCAATGTGTGGTTTTCCTGCCCTGATTTGACACAACACCCACGGGGATGCTGGATGCTCCTGCTGGGGCTCAGACAGCTGTGTGGGTGGGCTGTGGCATGAGAGGAGCAGGGAGGAGCTCCTGGTTTTGGCCAGCTCTTTGCAGGAGCTGATGTCATTGGAGGCATTTTAAGGCTGAGATGGTGAAGAGAAAGGTGGGTGCTGGCTTGTGCCGGAGCAGGGGAGGCAGGGGGTTGTGTTATTGCTGTTAGTGCCCAGCAGAGCAGCAGCAGGTCCTTGCTGCACAATAGCAAATGCATCATTTAATGCTCTCTAGGAGTTACTGGCAGTTACCTGCCATGCTGGGCTGTAGCTGGTTGGATGGGTGACAGACACCTCATTTTCCTCTGCAGGTCTTCCCTGCTTGCTCACATCCCTGGCTGGGGATTTGTCACAAATGTCCCACAAATACTGCCCTGGCAGAGCACAGCCCCTGATGGGGACTCTCCTCTGGTTCCCAGGTGCCCTTCTCTTCCCATCCTTCCTGCTGTCTCAAGCTGCCTCATCTCCCTTCTGCAGCTTGTCTCTCAAAACATCCCTAAGCCTCTCCCCCTGTCCTCTCCCTGCTGTGCCACCATATGTGTTCCTGTCACTGCCTCCTGCCCCTGATTCTCACCTGGCCCCTCCCCTTCGGGCTGTGCTGCTCGGGACTGCTCTCACAGCCTCTCTCCTAAATGGGCACAGTGAGAAGAGATATTGTCCCTCTCAACCACAGCCCTGAGGAGACCTCCTGAGACCTGAAAGCCACTCCTAGCTCAGGCTCCCAAGAGAGAACAGTTGAACTTCTGGCCAGCCTGCAAAGATTCATGTTTTTCACAATAATGGATTTCTAAGAGAGGCAGAGAAGAGGCAGGGATGGATCAACACTGCCCACCTGCCCCCAGGTGAGGTGGGCCCTGAGTGGGACCTCAGAGGTGGTTGTCTCACCCAGACAACTAACAGGCTTTTGGGGTGGACTTCTAAGAGTCCCTCCGTGTCCCCAGAGGTGACACCCCACTTGTCACATTCCCTTCTGCCTTTGACTCAGCAGCACCCAGAGTTCTTGGTGGTGGCCACACATACCTCAGCCCACCTGCATTTGTCCTCTCTGAGCCCCCAGTTTTGCTGTGCTGGGTGCTACCCTCATCTTTCTCTCCCATGCCCTTCCTTCTTCCTTTCCTTGCACTTTTCCTTCCTACTCCATCACTTGCTCTCCTTTGCCAGTGTTAACCATCCATCTCAATCCTGGTAGAGATGCCCTGACCGGAGACACCAACCCCGGAGCTGTCTCTGGGATGCTCAGGCAGGAGGTGACACAGGAAAGCCACTGGCTTGTGCCCAGCCAAGGAGGCTCAGAGCACCAGGTTGTGCTTCTCAAGGGGTTCAGATGCCCAGAGGGCAGTGAAGGGCCATAAGGTTTTTGCACACTTTGCTGCTGCCCAAGCATGGGGAGTTTTCTCAGAGCACCTTTCCCATCTCAGACACCTGATGTTCAGACTCTCCCTACAAGAAGACAGGGCTAAATATTTTTTATTCCTCAGCATTTCAAGGCTGAAGTTTGGAAAGTGATGCTGTGTGTTTGCAGGAGCACCACCTCTGCTGAATCACTAAAGCTGGGAGGTGCTGTGGGAAAGGTCCCCAGGCTGGATTCCTTGTCAGGATGCCGCTGAGTGTTGAGCCTCCATCAGGACACCATTCCTGGGGCATCTTCACTGCCTACACTCCAGAGATCCCAGCCCAGTGCCTCCATGGCCCCCATGGAAGTGCCTCAGAAATGGGTTACAGCAACCACTAGATAAATTTTATCATTAATTTTGAAAAACTTGAGGTAAAACTGCTACCAGTAATGAATGCTTTTAGACAAGGCTTAGTAGGCTTTGTTACTGTGTCCCTGTTACTCAGACACCAGCAGAACTCGATATGGCTGTTTTACTTGTTCAAATAGCTGTCTGGAAAAAAGGAGAATGTACAAATCCAAGCTATGGTAGCTGCATTTAACACCAAACCCTCCAGCTCTGGGGTCAGAACTGGAGCTGTAAGGTACCCTCAAAATGGTCAGGTTGTATTTAGCACTTCCCAAAGGAGTAGCGTTTTTAAAAAAAGGCAAATAACCAGGAGAATGAACAATATCCCTTAATTTTCAAGGCAAAATAGAAATTTTGGTTCCAAACTACACTGTTCCTGACCAGTATTTTAAGGCTTTGATTTTTTTCTCTCTTTAAAATTGAAGTATTTTTGTCTTTTGGCAGTTGAAATGCACTTCGTGGGAAATGCGTTAGCTCCCTGCACAACACTGTGAATTGGAACGGAGGAGTAGAATGGGGCAGCGAGGGAATGAACCAAAAAATGAACCAAAATAAAATAAAATGGGTCTGGGGAAAGCAGAACTTGCTGCTGCAGAGTTTTCTGGGACAGGAGGAGGGAATTATGCATTTCTTCCTTGTCATCTTCTGAGGAGGAAAAACCAAGGAAAGGGAGGACCTGTCCGCGGGAGCGCAGGATGCTCCGGGCGGTGCCAGGAGAGGAGGAGGAGGAGGAAGAGGAGGAAGAGGAGGAGGAGGGCCTTCAGTAGAGTCCACACCCCCGCAGGTTGTTGGCGATGATGACGTCCGTGACGGCGTCGAACACGAACTGGATGTTGTTGGTGTCGGTGGCGCAGGTGATGTGAGTGTAGATCTCCTTGTTGGCCGACTTGTTCTTGCTCTCGTACTGGCTCTGGATGTACGCCACTGCCTCTGTGAAAGCGTTGGGGCCTGCAGAGAGCCAGGGAAAGGAGAAACAGAGGGTTAAAGCAACCCCATCACCTGGAGCCTGCAGGGTGCCTGCAAACAGCCCCTGTGGGGTGCGGGGAGCTGCTGCAGCCCAGGTGCCCTCTCTCCATCTCGGGGATGGGCACCGCTACCAGCCAGGATTGCTGCCAGGCAGGAGATGCTCCCTGACTGTCAGCTCAGCTGTATTTTTATTCTGAGTTGCTGTTTATAGAGATGAAATAGATGAGGGAGCTGAGTGTTAAACAGGCTATGATGGAAGAAATTCCACATCGTGGTGACAAAAAATAGAAGAAATGCAGTAAGTGCTTGACCTAGGGAAAAGGCTTAGCTTTTTTCCTTTTTAAGATTTTTTTTTTAAATTAAAGCTTCAGTTTTTGATGGAAGAGTTAACATGAATTGAGGGCAGTATTGGTAGCTGTGCCCTCCTTTCCCTAAGTCATTAAGAGAAAAGGACATTAAAAGATCCAGCCTCTGTTACAGGGCAAAATGGGCTTTTCTCAAAAAAAACCCCAAATCCCAACAAAAAGACTGATACACGATGTCCCTTTTTAAAAAGAATTAGGATTGCAGTACTCTCTGCTACAGCCATGACTAAAATCACACTTTGATGAGTTTCTTATTTTGATATATAGAAATATCTGTACCAAACCTGATTAACCCTCAAATTTTGTGTTAAAAATTTAGAAGTAGTGCAAACGAGTAGATCCTTTCTCCTGGCCAGCTCTGACCCTGCTCACACACACAGCTCCTTTTGGGCACCTCCTTAAGGCTGATGAAGGCTCTGGCTGGCACTGCCAGGCACTGCCTACCCCCAAAAGGCTTCACAGCAGTAAAACTGTTCCTGCTTTTGGGTGCCTTTCTCTCCATGATGCTCTACTGATGGGAAATGCTGTTGTTTGCTAGAGAGAAGCTCACTGGGGCTGGAGATGTGCTGTGGTGGAAGCTGCTCAGAGAAATCCCACTTGCACACACATGCACTGCTAGGGAAAGACACAAATTCATAAAGATCATGGGACTTGAGAATAAGCATGAAGTAAGAGAAGCAAAGTTTTTTCTGGGAGCAGATTCCTGCATGGAGAGCTGTGTAAAGAATCAGTTCCACATGCTGAGCACAAGCAGGAGGTTATTTTATGAACAGGAAGTTGGTTGTTCAAACACATGAGGATTTAGATGCTTGATTCTGTCTAGGAGAGCAGGGAATCACTAATGCTAGCTTGGTTTAAATCAAGCTGTGGATTCTGCTGCTGCTTTACTAAGTATTGTGGATTAGTTAAAAGCATGAGTGAATTAAGGGGATGGAAATAGTGCTCCAGAAAACAGCAGGCAAATTTGTGGATGCAGTCTTCTAATAATTCCCTGTCAGCAGAACTAATGGACATCAGAAATTTCATTTCATTAAAAGCATTTTGTGGAACCTACTTGTGATGTTGAAAGTCTGCTTGTTCAGTTTATAGGCTTTTATAAAATAATTCTTTTTAACTCCAGGGCAACATTCTAATAATGTTGCTTTTTCATGAGGCCACGAGGGTTTCATCCTGTGGGCTGTGGCCAGCAAAGCAGGGGTGAGCAGACTGAAGTGTGTGCTTGGGTCTAAGGCCTGGGCTGAATGTTAGCACAGCTAACTCATAACAGCATTGCTGAACACCTGGGGGTGAGATAACTCCTCACCTCAGATCCCTGTTGGATCAGTAAAGGGACTTTCAGCAGTCAGACTTCCTGCCCTCTCTGATGACACAAGAGAGACAGGAGATCTATTAAGGGTCTCTGTTATTGGGAGCTTCCAGAAAACCATCCTGAAGGGATTTACAGCACCTTTGGGGTGCCCTGAGACTTGGGGAAGATTGGTTTGGTTCACCTGTGGCTGAAGTGCTCCAGACAGAAGCTTTGTTTTCCTCTGTTTAATCAGCCAAGAGCTTGGCTCCATGTCTGCCTCTCCCACTGAAATTCTCTCTTGGGCTGGGATAGCTTGGGAAGGAATAAATGAAATCACATTCCTTCTTGTTCTGTCTCTCTGACATCAGGGGTTCTGTGAGAATGTTATTTCAGACTGAGGTTTCTGGGAGACAGCGGTGAAGATCTACAAAACCAGGGGCAAAGATCTACAAAATGTGATCAGGAAGGAGTGAGAGGTGAAGGTTTGCTTCACTGAGAAAAGGGAAGGGAAGAGGCATGACAGAAACCATCCAGTATAGACAAGCACTGCTATAAAGAAGATGATGATGAGCTGCTCTACAAGCCATCAAAAGCAGCAATCTAATTTGCAACCAGGAAAATTTGGGGTAGGCATTATTGTGAGCTCAGCTGTAAAGACTAAAATTTCCATGATTAGATCTTTTCAGACAAATATGTTGGGAATATGTAGGTTCTGTCTGGACCAAGCAGATGACTAGATGGCTGAAATATGCTGGTGTGACAAACACCAAAATCTTCCCTGGAGAGGAAGCCTGCAGATGTTCTGAATTCAGCTGGAGTTGTTCAGCTCCACGGCCACAGACCATTCAGCCCAAAGCAGCAACGAGGGATCACTTTTGTCTATTCACAATGGAAAATCAAGTGCTCAGAGATAAGAAGCTCTGGTTAATAATTTGTTGGCCTGCCCAGAACCGTGACACTCCTGGTGCTCCTGGTTCACAACTGTGTTTCCTGACAAAGAGATTGGCTTCTCTGTCTGTCGGCTTGATTCATCTGGATGTCTCCGGTGAGTTTAAATAATTCATGACGATGAAAGTTTATTTTTGTGCCATCTCAGAATGGTAATGAGGGTTTGTGGAAGCTGGGAGATGCAGAGGGAAGCAGCAGGGTGCAGCTGCAGCCTTTGCATGGGTGATGGATTCCCATCATTAGCGGGTCAGATGCCAGGCAGGCAGCAGGGGCAGGGGGTTCTCGCACACTGCCCATCCCAGAGCTCCTGCTCTCAGCTCCACGGATCACCAAGGCCTCCTTCTCCCCAGCCAAGCTCAGGGCATGGCTCACTGTGGCTCTCCTCTGCCTGTATTATGGGCTAAGAGGTGTGGGAAGATCAAATATGAAACACCTTGTTTTCTACCTGCATTTAACTGGAAGTGTTTTCATGTCCAGATGCTTGACTGGCAAACCTGAGAGCAAAACTGGGGATTCTTCAACTGTTGTGATGAAAATGTATTGCTTGAGCTGAAGCAGGCAAGCTGTGAGACCTCCTGTCTGCATACTGGAGGGCTGATCATGGAATCATAGAATGGTTTGGGTTGGAAGGGATCTTTAAAGGTCATCTAATCTAACCCCTCTGCAGTAAGCAGGAACAACCAGATCAGGTTGCTGAGAGCCCCATCCAGCCTGGACATGAATGTTTCCAGGATCATGATGATCCTACAGCCCTGCAGTGCCTGGAAGTGGAGAAAGTGGCCAGGAACTGCTGAGGGATTCTTTCTGTGGCCATAAGGGAGCATGGCTGGGTATGAAAGAACAAAGCTGTACTCCAGCTGAGGACAGCGTAACAAACCCTGTGTGTTGGTCTCCTGCCACCCATTTACAATGGTTACACTCACTGCACCTTTCTGAGAGACCTGCAAGAAGGTTCATGATCCTGTGTGACACAGGGAACCACTGCACACGGGTTTGGGGAGTGCACAGTGGCCCCAGACCTGCAGGTGCTGCCTTGGCATCAAACCCATTGGTGAGGAGTAGATCACACACCTGAATCAGTGGTGGTGGCCCACCCTAGTGGTGGTCAAGTCATCCTCCTGCTTTAAGTGGACCATGGTGGGGCTGATGCTTTGGCACTTACTGAAGTAAAACCTGTAGTGAAGCCAATGGGAGCTGTAGCTCTGCATCTTTAGCCTTGTTGCCTGTGATACACTACAGCATCAGCCTGGCTGGGGAGAGCTCCGTGGGCCCTTTGCTAAACACTCCTTTAGAGCCACATTTCTCATTACCTGTGTACTCAGGAAAGCAGATACTCAGTGGAGATTTCTTAATTTTTTCCTCAAATATGTCCTTCTTGTTTAGAAACAGGATGATAGATGTATCTGTGAACCACTTGTTGTTGCAGATGCTGTCAAAAAGCTTCAGAGACTCGTGCATGCGGTTCTGCAATAGAAAGGAAAGATCACATCAGCCCAAAGCCAGCGACCCAGGGATGTTCAACACGTAGGGAAATCTAAAACAACTAAATTAAGGAGGAAAGCAACAAAAAAGAAAATCTACAATATACATAATAAATTTATGTATACATACAGCTGAACATGTACATACACAGATGCAATCCCTGTTACATTTGACATACAATTAGTAACTTAAGGGCATTTGACAATACAGAGCTGTTTTGATTTTGCATAACATTAATTTACAGGATTCCAGCTCATAGAAATCATCATGCACCATGCATGGATGGAGAATTATTTTTGCCCTTTGATCAGATTTATGTGTTGGTGTAGCTCATGCATATTTTCTAAAATGTTTTCAATAATTTTTCTAAAATGTTTTTTCCACTTTCTTGAATGTGTGCGGCACACAACTGGTTACATTAACCAAGGACTGGTAGATCCTTGAATTAATCTAGAGTTGGAAGCAGACATCAAGGTGACATAATTTTGGAAATGACCTTGCCGTGACCTTTGACTGGTTTTGTTATTTTGTTTAGTGTTTTCTGTTGTTGCGCTTTTAATTTTTAAACTTTTTGGTTTTAGTTGTCTTGGAAGATGGCTCAACAGAAAGTGTCTTGCAAAGAAGAAAAAAGTGAAAAAGGAAGAGAAAATAGTATAAAAAGGAAAAACATAACAAAGAACATCTAAGAACAACCAGACTAGAAGTCAGGCAGCTACCACTGATGTTAGCTCATGCCTCTAGAAGATGATTAGCAGAAGAGCCATACATCCAAATGTACGCACAACAAGAAGTCAGCTTTTTGGTTATAGGTCATGCAAAAAAGGACACAGAAAAGGAGAGAGATAAGAAGAATGGAAAAACCAGACCAGTTAGAGAGTTGCAAAGTCCGCCACATGAGTTTATGGTGGTGGAAAGAGCTCACGGCAAAGTCAACCAAGTGTCATGTTCCCCGCTGCTTTCAACTCCCAATTCGGTTTTTCTTTTTTTTTTTTTTTTTCTCAGTTCAATAGAAGCTTCATACCTGCCAAATTTGGTTGGTCTCTCAAATGCTCATTTTTTGGCCTTTGTTTGGCTAGATAAGGTCAGACGGCCGAGGAAAAGCTGTGGAGGTGCCGAGGCTGGCGACGTTTGGCGCCGAGGCCGACGCCGGAGCGCGCACGCCGGTCGCGTGGCCGTCTCTAGCCGGGAGCCGGGCAGCGCAGAGAGCAGGCGCGGTGAGGATGAAGCACACCCAAGAGTCAGGGGTTATCAAAGGCAAAGCATGGTACAGACCAGACCGGCTCCTCGGCTTTTCCAGCGGGATCTCCTTGGGGCTGCGCTCCCCAAACCCGCCAGTGCGCGTAAGAAACCAGTGACAGCCATCACCACAGGGACACTGGAGAGAACAGGGCTGCACGGGAGGGTTTTTGGGGTGGGTGCAGCATGTCCTGTTCCCCCCAGCCCTGGATTTGGGAATGTGGAGTGGTACATGAGTCAGCTGGGGGCCTTCACCCCTCTCCCACTCCGTTTCACACCTGTGCTGGCATAAAGCTGAGCCCAGCACTTCACTGATTAACACATTCCTTTTCATTGATATGTTTTAGAGTCTACTGAATGTTTTATATAGATAGAAGAAGCTCCACGGATGAAAGAAACATCTGATTCAGCCCAGAGTGAAACAGGACACATGGGATTTGCTGTGCCTTGTCTTGAATGACCACACATTTCCTCACCGTTTGTATCGACACACGGGGACGACGCGATCACACACAAACGTAAAAATGCATTTGCTCATTGGGTCTCAGTTGCAACACGTTGCTTATCTGGATCACCCTGTGCCTGTGGGCTGGTTTTTGCTAACCCATTTGGTACTGGCTGCTGTGGGAGTCCCTGAAGCAATGCTCCCCTTTGCTACTTGTGGTGCCAAAATTGTAACCACATGGAAACCTGGTGTACAAAAGTTTTGTGCAGGAGATCCTTGGATACCCAAAGCCTTTGGGAGGAGAGAATGAAGTGGAACGTGGTCAGGGGAACAGAAAGTGAATACAGTTGACCATTTTTTAAAGCAAAGTCCCTCACAGAACATTTTAAATGACATTTTTATAATTCTTGCTGATTTAAATTAAAGTGTGGAGAAATATGGGAATGCTGCTCGTGGGCTAAACCCACAGCTCATGCACAGCAGCCATCAAACACCTGGGCAGCCTCGTGCCACGGCCGCCACACTGCACAGCCCTGGTGGAGAGCAGAAGGGTGAAACTGCTCTCCATGGCATGGGGAGCACCACGGGTGACAATGAGTTTGTCTAAGAAACAGAAGCTGGGGACTTCTGAGCTGGCTTCATGGTTAGGTGAAGCCAACTTTTCTGTAATTGTATGACTAGGTAAGGATCCTAAAGAAGTCCTCCTACTTCTCTGATCCAGTTTGATAAATTTGCATTAGTGCACGTTAGGAGACGAGGCTGTTTTCCCAACAAACAGTGACTATTAGTGTTCAGTGGTAACCAGAATATAGAATCACAGAATCATATACACACAGCACAAACCAATACACCCCACAGCACATAAGGGTTACACTGAATGACCTCTATTCCTTTCAGATTCCAGAAACAAGGTCCAAAGCTTCCTAAGGCTGTCTGACCTGGCTTTCTGATCTCTCCATGTTGATTTTCTCTCCAGCTTTGCCAATCAGACAAGTAAACATAATGAACTACTCTGCCACTCATCGTTATTTATGTGGGAAATGTTTTGGTCTTAAAATCCACCTTTTCCTTCCCCATACTAAAGAGAAGATGACATTATTCCAAAGCCAGAAGATGACATTATTCAATAGCCATAAATTGCTTTCTGTGTGTGGCAAAGGTGCAGAGCAATATTCTGGTGAGCAGGCACGGATGCTTCTGTTGTCATTCCTGGATGTCATATGGGAAATGTTGTTGCATCTCAGAAGGGCTTCTGGGAGCCCATGCATGGACAGAAGCTGCCCTGGTGCTGGCTAGCATCAGGACTCCTCACTATCTCCCTTTCCTTTCCCTCCCCAACTGTTACTAGTTCAATAGATGTTTGTAGGAGCCCTGCAACAGCTCAGGCAGACCCAGGTACAGAGGCAAGGATGAGGAAGTAGTGTCTGGGTACCATATGTAAAAGGACAGACTGCTGCTAAAGGAGGAATAAGAAGTTAAATCCCCCATATAATCCCCCTCCTCCCAGTAAATCCACAGTGGAAGATCAGTTTAGTCCCTTAGAACTTGGCTGGGGCCCCTTTCTGCTGTGATGGAGCAGATGTGCCTATTCTGCTAGGAGGCACTAAAGATTGCACTCCTCATACTTTTAGATGCAGTGACACAAATGATTTTACCTGCTTTTGGACCCATCATGCTGCTTTTTCTCACTTTACGTTGGGTCTCTTATTAAGGGAAGAGCTCTTCAGACATTGATTTCTTAATGTTACTTCCTATTTCAAAATTGGTATTTTAAATCCTTACACTGGCAAATATTTCATACCCCAACAAGAAAAGCAGCTCCAACAGCCATGTAACCACTCACCCATGCATATTCAAAGTCCAGTTAACTTCTGTACAGGACAAGAGACAGAATTGCTCATAGCTGAGATCAGATGTCATTGCACAGCCATCACTGATGTGAAGAGCAAACAGCTTTTCACTCAGCATGAGGGAGAAAGATGCTGCAGTCAAGACTCTGCCCAGGCAGAAACACTCTTACAAAAACCATATTTTTTTTACCAGAGCATGGGAGGAGACCTGGCGTTTTCTGCAACACCCAGTTGATTCAATATTTTCTGTTTTCCTTGGTGATTAAGTGCTAGCTGTCACATGAACTGTAAGGACACTGATGGTTATCCTAAGCACAGCAACTCCATATTCTCCCTCCTGCTTATATTTCCTAAGATGTGCAAGCCACTTTGGCTTGCTTTGTCACTCCTAAGGCAATTTCTGAGCACTGCAATTCCATTTTCCTTGTCCAATGACAGCAGAGAGAGCACAGTAACCAGGTCATGCAGCGTGATACAAACCAAGAGGCCAACACTAATGGACCAAGGGTTACCAGCACAGAGCCTCCCACCCATCCCATCCTCAGCAACAGGGACACAAACAATGCTTGCATGTCTTGCCTAGATATGGTTGACCTAAATATTTTAGCTTCAGAGGCAGCAATGTGCAGCATCAACATCTTCCTCTCTTGTCATGACTCCTTTGAATTTGCAAGGTAAAAACCAGAGGGTAGTTTCATTCCCATGGCAGGTCCCATTCCATTGCTGTTTTAAAAAAAAATTCCAATAGGAATTCTATTTAGAAAGAACAATGGAAATCTACCTTTGTGAATCACTAGTTTTACTGAGTGATATGACTGTCCCTCTTCCCAGATTACAGAGCTGAGGCTTTTCCTTCTGTAACTTCAGCTTATGAAACAAAAAGATCAGCCACAAATGAGATGAAACAGCCTTGTTATGCAAAGACATAATCCAGGGAGGTGTTCTGCCAGTTAAAGCAGGATGTTCCCCCTGTGTACAAATATGGCAGAGCCTGGCAGGTCCTTGTGAAGGACTTGGTAAAGGCACAGGCAGGTGTAATTCCTTGAGGGCAGTGCCTTGTGTGTTGGATGGGCTGGGCAGAGGGTACCACTCTGCCACGTGAGCTCTGGCTTGGGCTGTGGCTGGCAGCAATGGGGCTGCTGAAGGCATTGCTTGAATCCCTCTCATGCCTTGTTCCTCTCCCCTGGGAGCTGGGCACTCAGGGACACAGTTTGGATTTGCCAACAGCAGCATAATGTGTTGGAAGCAACGGGAGAAGTTGGATTCAGCAGTACTGGGAGTTTCTGTGAAAAGTGTGATCTTTATGGGTGTAAGGGCCTAAAAATCACAGATGCAGAAAGTTTTCTTTATTTTGTTTATGTCTTTCTGATCTGGACCTAGGGGAGCACTTGCTTTCCTCGACTCCTGCTGTGGCTCTTTGTAACAGGGAATTAGAGAGAAAATACATCCCTTATAAAAGCCTGCCTGCCCTTAAGAAGCAGGGACAGCTTCAAACACAACGATTTTGTTTTAGCTGCTGCTGGAGGATGGGTGCTCAGTCTTTTAAAACAAAGAGCACAATAACCCACAAAACAACTTTACAAGCACAGAGCTGTGTTTGAATTTTAAGGGCAGGGACAGGTCAGAGAGTGCTTCACCCAGCCTTGTTTAACCAGCTCTTTGGAAAGGATTCACAATAAACCTGTTTGTGAGCTTTTTTCAGTGACATAAGCTGACCCTACACTTGTCCCACCTGGAGCTTACCAAGGTGAGCCTGTTCCTGGTCCATGTGATGCTGACTGCATCTGAAATGCAGTTTTCTCCACCTGAAGTGTGGTTTGACTTACAGAAGTGCAAAAAGCACCTGTGAAATCTTGTGCTCGTTGACAACACGGTGCTGAGTGCAGGAGGAAAAGTCATTCTTTACATGCACACAGATTTGGAAGGGGTTTTTTGGACCATGATATGCAGTCAGGTTCTTTCCCTCTCATGGCTCCATGCCAGCAATGAAAGCTCTCTCCAAGTCCTTTCATACTCATGGAGACATCTGTACAGCCCCCAAACCTTCAGTGGCTCAACACAGCTGCCAGTGTAGTAAGTGTCTCTAAAAAATGAAGCTGGAGGAGCAGCATCCAGCTCACTTTCTCAGCTGCCTCCTCTTTGTGTTTTCCAAGTGAGAAGCAATAGAAGCTGATTGACGTCATGCAAGCCGGCAGATGTGACGGATGCAGGCAGCAAATCAGCTGACTGAGGAGGAGATGCTGCTCCACTGCTGGGCTTCTGGGGAGGCACCACATTGCCAAGGAGGGGGCAAACGCTTGGGGGAAGGGTTTGCTTCTCCTTCAAATCACCTGGGAGGGGCCAGGGTCTGTGGGTGCCCCGTTTTCCACCTGCCATTTGTGATGGGGATACAATAGGGCAGGCAAGATCCAACCCCAGTGTTGTTTCCTGTGCACTGGCCTTGCTCAGGGCTGTTTATCTGGGTTAGGCAGGGGCGTCCTGGCGATGCCGAATGCTTTCGCCGCTTACGCCGAATGTGTAAATGAGCAGCAGCTGCCTCTGCCCTCCTGTTGCTCAGCATCCCCCAAAATGTGCTGTGAACAGGGACTGAAATAGCAAGCAAATGTCAGTGCTGTGCCAGAGCTGCACCAGGCTGCTCTCCTGCTGCAAAGGGAAACTTGGAGATGCATAATTCCCCGTTTCTGCAGCGTGGCACTTCAGGGGGCAGGCTGAGCTGGCTCTGGGGACAATCACTGGCAGGGCTCTCCCCAGGAGAGATGCTCTAACCTCCAGTTCAGAGGAGCAGAGTAAAGGCTGACATTTAAAAAATGGCAGTGGCATTCAGGCCATTCCATTTTGTGCTCCATGGCTTTGAATCACAGCCTCTGACGTGTGTAGATGGGCACCCAAAGGTGACCTGTATTAAAAGCTGCCTTTGGCTTCATAATTTGGGTGTCACAGTCCAAGCTATCCTTACCCCAAGTACCTTGTTCTCTACTCAGATCACAGCTTTGCTCCCTGCTCCTGGACCTTCCCTCTCCCTCTGTGTTCTTCTGTGTCTCCTGGCTGATTTTGCTGCCCAGCTGCAGAGCTCTATAGTGTTGAGGTAATGGCTGGATTTTTCAAATCATGTCAGGAGATTTTGGTTCCTTCCCAGTAAATCCTACAGGGCTGAGCATCCTTCAACATATCAGGGCCAGGGTCAGAGGGAGGAGACAACTGGGGATTATAAATAAGTGGACATGACAGGATGTAGAGTGTGTCTTAGTCAGTCTGGAGGGAGACACAGTCATGATCACAGAATCACAAACACCATCCAATCCAACTCCTGGTTCTGCACAGAACAACCCCAAGAGTCACCACATGTGCCTGAGAGCATTGTCAAAATGCTTCTTGAACTCCTCAGGCTTGGTGCTGTGACCACTTCACTGGTGAGCCTGTTCCAGTGCCTGACCACACTCTGGGTGAGGAACCTTTCCTGATTTCCAGTCTAAACTTCTTGACACAGCTTCATGCTGTTACCAGTTCTGTGAATGGTAATGTTAATATCATCCAGAATTCTGGCATCAATATGATTCAAACAACCAGATGATTTCATCAAAGAGTTTGCAAGAGCTCGTAAACCTGGCTCAGAAGCTACAAACCACAGTCCCCCTAGTCTTTTTGGGACAGGACAAATGTCCCTTAACAGCAATATTTCCCTTGATTCCATCCTCATCCACAGCTTTCTGCAAGCCTGACATCTTTTCCAGCAGGAGAATAAAAAGCCTCAGAAAGACAGAGCTGGCAGGAGCAAGCACTCCATGCTGCTACTGCAGATTGGGCACCGATGAAATCATTACTGAGTCTGAGTATGGCCTCCAATTCCTTTTCATTAGAGAAATGTAACTGCCCACAGCAGTTGTCATTAGTCCCAAAAACATCATGCATCCCCATCATACTGAATGAATGGTCAGAATACAGCAATGAGTCTTACTGCATCCTTTTTTGTATATTCAATTCACTTGTATTAATTGCACTCTAATGCCAGGGAGCACACAGTTTCTTACCAGCTTTATTTCCAGATGGTATTTTGAGCCTAATGTCACAGTGGGAAGTCATAAAATCTCTCCTAGAGCAAATTACCTGAGGACTTAAACAGTTCCATTCCCACTAAGGAAAACGAATTTCTGTAGCCTGTGGAAATAGGTTACATTGCTGGGCAGGCGTGCACTGCTGTCCTGCACCTCTGCACCACGGCCTGACTGCTTCCCTGTATAAACAGGGACACACCCAGCTCTATCCTCTTGCTGGTAATGGGTTCCTGTAATGCATTTTGAGAACACAGGCTGGCTAGACAGGAGAAGCAAACCCTTTGCCTTTACCAGTGTAAGGAAGCATTACCTGGGTATGCAGACTTGGTACCAAAGAAGGTGAAGGAGGAGAGCTCTCCCCAGGATTTCAGAGCCAAGGGGACAAGAGCACATTAGTGCAGCACCCCAGGGAGCATTCGGTGATCTCTGAGGAGCTGATGGCTGTGCAGTGTCCCACACAGAGCTGCTGGGGCCTCCAGGACCCACTCAGACTCACCGTGGTTTCGTCTTCATGGAGCACCTGGTCGTAGCCACTGAGCGCCACGCAGAAGATGATCGCTGTGACGTCCTCAAAGCAGTGGATCCACTTCTTGCGCTCTGACCGCTGGCCCCCGACATCGAAGAGCCTGCAGCACAGGGGAGCACCATCACCACCCACTCCTGCCCAGCTGCCAGGGAACTTGAGCATTCTGGGCATTCTCTGACCACCTGGGTCCTGGGGGGCTCCAAACACAGAGCAGTGGGTCTGTCACTGCTAGCTCGGTCTTCTCCTCCAGAGCCTGCAGCCGAGGAGAGCCAGGAGGAGCAGTTACAGACAGGGATCTGTCTGTATCTGTCCACACTGTCTGGGGACCTGTGGGAGAGCCTTAGCAGCATGCTGGGTCCCAAAAGGGCAGTAGAGGTGGAGACCACACAATCTTGACTTTTATATGCTCTAAGTACTGTTTGTGTGTGGCTTTCTGTCGTTGTGCCCTCTTCTCTCTAGTGGATGGCATCATGAGGGTCAATGTATTGTGTTAGCTACAAGTGAACAACCCACTTAAGAGAAAAGATCTGGCCAAATATTTTTACATTTATGAGGTTTGATCAGATTTGGGGGTCAGTCTTGTATTATACATTTCAACAAAGAAGTGTTGTTTGGGTTAGAAGAAGCTGCCATGAGCTTCTATCATACAGGCAGTGACTTTCAAGACAGGATTGCCAAACTTTTCATATTGTTGACCCTCCAAAATGCTGTGTCTTCTGCATTGTAGGAGCTGTCCATGCATTAACCAGCAATTTAACAACTTCTTTAGGAACTATGGGAAAGCCCTGTGATAAATAGTTGTTCTGAAAATTTACTGTACAATTTTGGACTAACCTGAAGTGGAGGTTTTTGAATGTGAAATGGGTTTCTACGATGCCAGTTGTTTTGACCCTGGTTCGGAGGATATCCTGCTCCGTGGGTTGGTAGTCTGCAGCTCCAATTCGATCTAAGCTGTCTAGGTAGCTAAGAGAAGAAGGGAAAAGAAAAAGAAAACAGCTAAGAATAAGACACACATTAATCTTTGTCAATCTCAGATGGATCCTTCAGCTTCCTATTAATCTTTTTCAATCTCATTTTTCATGGCTGAATGTATTGTAGCTAAAGCAAAAAAATATCCTATTCTGGGGAAAAACAAACCTCAGTAAGCTAAGCATAAAATCTGATAGGGAACTGAAAGCAGGAAATTAAGCATGGTGTGTTGTGGGTCCCGCCTGCAATCTGTGAAAATACACAGTTTTAATATTAACTTGCTATTTTTATTCCCTGAGGAACAAGGGTCCCAATCAGTCCATTGTGCTGGGTTCTGTACAGAAAACCTTTTTCTGCCAGGGTTTATTCAGATAAGAGGCTGCAGCATGCAGGTCTTGCTCCCAGAACACACAGGGTGAGTCCCCTTTGGCCATGCCTCTCTGTGCTGGGAGGGAGCAGGGCCATGCCAGGCCTGGCTTTCAGTCAGCTCAGATGAAGGGAGATGAATCTGCACAGGTGAGTCACTGCTTCAGTTCAAAACCCAGCACAGGGCTGGGGCTGCACGAGATGCAGCTCTGGGAAAGAATCCAGGACTCCACTTAAATGGTGATAATCTGGGAGTACAAACTGGGGATTTGGGGGAACAGAGAGGAGATTTAGCTTTCTAAAATGCTTGGACAGTTTAAAATATGTAACTTTATTCTGCTTTAGGCTTAATATCTATGAACATGGGCAATGCCTCCCTAGGCTGAAACTTGGGGTAGGAAGTCCTGTCTTGTGCCATGAAAGTTTTGTGTAGAGGAACCCAGCATCTTTGCACATATGACCACAATCCAGTTTTCCATCCACATTCAAGACAATTTTAAAAACAATTTATAAAGAAAAGAAGAATTTGGATTACCATTTAATATGAATTACAAACACAGACCAGCATCACACAGCACAGTCTTTCTCACCACCATTAAGCCTGCAAGCAGACACTCCAGTTTCTCTTAAAAGGGGTTTGATGTGCATTACAGGGCATAAATGTCCACCTCTGGCCCCAGGAGCATCAATCTAATGCTCTGAGATGCTTTCAATATATTGTGAATATAATAGAGCATGTCTGTACATGAACAGTGATCTTTTCCTTTGATCCCTGTGCCTGGATGTCACCCAGAGAGGCAGTGGGGCAGGAGGTGACCTGCTCTGGCAGGACAGGAGGGCACCTATTCAGGTGCCAGAAGATGGCAGCTTTGCCCAGTGCAACAGGCAGAGAATAAAAAGTGCTAAGAGGAGCTGCACAGTTGCAGAGAAGGAAAAGACTTTGTTGTCTCAGGTAAGAGTTTGCTGGTGAGTGGGAGATGGTGTGAGCTGGAACCATTCACTCAAGACAGCCATGAGTCTATGCTTGACTTTCAAGTTTAGCTAAATGCAATTTTTTTAAAACACAGAACATGGATTTAGTCCTGATGAGTAACCAAACCAACCCCTCTTATTTGCCTTGCCATAGCACATCCCATTTGGCCTGAAATTGGCCCTGACCTGCTGCTGGAGATGATATCCCTGCTGCATCCAAACCAGGAATGGCTTTCCATTTGTGCCCTGGAGGGAGTGCACTGAGCCAGGGCTCTGGAGCAGGACACCTGAGAGCTGGGGCTGTGCTCTCTGCTACCCAACAAACTCCCTGCCACTGTCTCTCATACCTGCCCCACAAGCCTGGAACAACAAACAGCCAGCCAAACTCTACACTAAGGTCAAACACAATCCTCACCCTGCTCATACAATGTATTTTCCCGACCCATCATATTTATAATTTATTTTTCCTAAACAATTCCAAGAATCACGTCACCCAGAGGAAAGTATATAAGCTAAGCAGGCTTATTTTTGTTGTGCCCTTTTCAAGCATTTAAAGGCATTGTGGTTTTGTGACAGATGCTCCTTTAATAACCCTGTGATGGGCACTGGATGGATGAATGGGGCTTCATTTGAAATCAGATCCTGGGCTGTGACGGCTGAAGCCACGATCACTCATCTATTCACAACTGGTGTCAACTGCTGTTATTTAAGAGACAGCTGCATCTCTTCACAGGGCCCTGCAGACTGAGGCTGCTCTGCAGTGCTGGTATTCAGAGACTCAGTCTCTGCTCAGGAACTTCAAGGTGATATTTAAAATATGAGGTGTAAGAGGGGGAATTTTCTTTTCCTCTTGAGGCTGCATTCCAAACCTGTTTAAATCTTTGGCTGCTCTACCCTAGGAAGAGACTCAGGCTATGGCAGATATTTTTCCCCCTGCACTTTGGCTGCAGCTGAGCTGGACCCTGTTGGTGTGTGCAGCGTGTGCAGCTCAGCTGGAGGAGTGTGCCATGGCATGGCTGCCACACTAACACCCAGCTGTGGGAATGGGAGGATCAGCCAGGCTGCTGCTTGGATGCTGAGCTGATTTTAGTGCTGCTTGTTCTCCTGGGTTCCTGCTGGAAGCATCTCTGAGGTTTCACTGGAGTGCTGGTGCTCCCTGCCCGTGCTGCTTGGAAGGCCCTGCTGGTGTGAGCCTGAGCTGGGGGAGGATGGGGTACTTTGGGGGTGCCACCTCTTTGTGACAGGGAAACCCAAGTGGGGACAAATTGCTACACATGGTGCAGGATGGCAGCGCTGCTGGTACGCCCTTTGAGCTGAAAATCTCAAGGCCAGACTGTTGTGAGAGATAATTAGTTGTCACAGCCAACAGGCTCCACGACACATAATCCCCTCAGAAGCTGGCATCTGTTTAACCAGCAGAAATAAGAGCACTTTGGAGGCCATGGAGTGAGAGCTCAGCTCCCCCTTCCACGTCAGTGGTGCTGGCACCAGAGCTCTTCCATTGCCCAGCTCCAGGGTTTGCACACTGGAGTGGAAGCATATCCGAAATGACACATCAGCTCTTACTTGCAGCCTGCCTTGCCCCAGGTTTGCAGGGGTTAAAAAAAGCTTAAGGAAGGTTAGAAGGTCTGTGAGTGCATGAGTAACCCTCTAGCATTTCTGCTCCTGAGCCAAGTAGCTCCATTACTGCTTATATCTTTTATTTTATATCTTTTTGTTTTGAAGCAGATTGCAGGTTCTGAGTCACTCTCTATACCATGCTCATGGAGGTGAAGCCCAACTATTTTATGCTGCTAAAAGCAAAATGCAGAGGAAATGGCAATCACAAATACAGGGAGAGGAGATCATTGAACAGAGGCTAAGAAAGGCAGGAGTTCTATACAGGCCAGTTGACAGCAAATAGCTATACACAGTAGTATTGGCCCTTCATTTGCTGTTTCCAAAAGCACCTGGTAGCAGCACTGTGGGTGCCAGAGACACTGCATGGAGAAAAGGAACTTTTGTCCAGGTGTACCAATGGGAATGGCTCAGCAGCAGCCTATGTGCAGTGTGTGCACAGGGACCTCTCCTCAGGCTCTTGGCTACCACAGGAACCTTCTCCCAGGACTGTGCTGCCAGTGCCAAAGCTCCACTGGCTGCTTCCTTGGGTGAAGAAGTGCAGCTGAGGTTGCAGGCTGTGGTCAGGGCTGGATAACTGCGGCAAAGCTTACACAGACGGACATTCACACCTACTGAGATTAACAGCAGTAAGATGGTGAAAGGTCTGTTGGGTTTTTCTTGCTGTGAGGGTGACACCTTGGCAGTCTTTGTGCATCATCCAGCTGTCCCTGTGCACACCCAAGGGGCTCACACCATGCTGATGCCATGCTCACATCCTCCGTGCTCAAGGAGCTGCGGTGCAGCAGCAGCCACAGCTGGGTCCTGCTCTGGGGCAGCTCTGCAGGGACTTGGAGTTGGAGCTCCAACTCCAGGAGCAAGCCTGGAGACAGCAGCATCTTCCCAGTGGCTCCTCCATCCTGGCTGCCCTGAGTTCTGGCCATGTCTCCTCTGTGAAGGAAAGGCCATGTGTGTGTGGGATAGCCCAGCCTCGGTTTGTTGGCTTGTGTTGTATTTGGTGAGGAAGCAGATCCCCATTTGTCAACACATGCAGCTGAGTCACTGCTGGGCTATTTTGGACTCTGTGTACTGAGGCACTCAAGGGGCAGCTCCAACACTGTGTCCTGGCAAATGCTGAGTTTTTAATCAAGGTTGTCATGAGCAGGCTCCATGTCATCTAAATCTAAATGATTATGTGAAGAAGGCTCTATCTGAACACTTCCTTGCTCATGGATGGAAGGCTGCCTGTATCTGATCTTATCTTCCACCTTATCTTCTTCCTTTCTTTCAATGATGAACACACAATTCAATGTATATTTACATTAAAACCATTAAATATTTAATGACTGTAGAGTAAGGGTACAGAGGATGAGCACTGGATTTAGGGAGTGTCAGTAGTGGCTCTACAACAGAGAGTAAACTGTTGTAGTTATCTCCTACCAGAGAGCAAAACCATGTGGGCACTGCTGCCTGAAGGTGTGATACAGTCTGGTTTGGCTGCCCAGGGCAGCTGGTGCTGGGCAAGTACCCAGAGGTGATGGAACCACAGTGTTTTTGCTGCAGACACTATGTCCAGTCAGATTTGCTGTTATGTTGAGGAAAGGGGAAAGGCAAGCACAGCCCACTCTCAGAATCCAGCACCAATCCAGCACACATTGAAGTGATGTCACAGGTGTCTTAAATAATTATCAGTTATGAAAAGCTTGAAATGTTGCCAAGCAGTGGCATCGTGTCCCTTCAGGAATCAATCCTGTCTGAGGGCAGAGACTGCAGAGCCCTCCTCTCCCCCTAGCAAAAGCCAGAGGGTGGCACACACTGCTCCTGAGGCATTTCCATGTGGGTTATGGCAGGCAGGGAAAAGACCTTAGGGGAGGAGTAACTCATCTGAGAGCAAGAGCATTGTGTGGTGTTTCCTCAGGCCAGCCTGGAAAAGGAAGGTCTTGGGAGTTTGCTCCTGGACTTTGGGTAATGTGTTTAGTGTTTCTGGCTGTGCTGCTCCATCAGCCAGTCCTGCCTCCATGGCAATCACGTGAATCACATGGCAAGCCCTGCTATCTTGC